GATGCATACAGCCACTACATAATAGCAATAAAAAAGGACAATGTACTAACACCTGCACTGTTAATTTTCTAAGCACACCCTCATTGTTTTTTTTGTTTTTTTTTTAATGGATAGGAGGATAAGCCAGATGAATTTAAATAATGCATTTCTATTGCTGGAAAAATCAAAGATGAAGGAGACTTGATCTTTAACCATACTTATTGAGGTAGAGTGGAAAAGTTTAAGAGGGACAAGCCAGTAAAACTGATTGAACAAAAGAGATTAACCTGAAATAACAGACTAGTGGGCATTTAATGAAGTATTTGGCTAGCTCAAAAAATATTTTGTGTTTGTTTCTTTAAATGGTATTGGAAATATTTACTTTGAAATGAATTTAAAAAAAAAATACTTGATTGCACTATGACAGTTGCCATAAAAGTATGAATTTTTAAAAAAAAAAATGTCAATATTGGAATGCAGACAAACCTCTCATTAATGAAATAATACGGTGGGAAGTCCATTAAAGTCCATTGTTCATAGATGGGAAGAGATTATTTTTGAGTTATAAAACTACTATAGTAACTACCAGTAGTTATGATCACAATGTAAATACTACAAACATGTATATATGACATCAATAAATATATGCTTGATATAGATATATTAATCAAAATAACGAAAATAGATTTCTCACAGCTACTTTCTCATGCACGCATTAATGTAACATATTTTCCGTCTTTGTGTACAAGTGAAAGACCTGCCACCACCACCACCAAGTGGTCACTTTGAGAACTAATACTCATTCTACTAAGCCCACAAATTTTAAAATACATTGCTGACAGTTTGGAAGTTTTTCCCCCTGCATATTTTAAATTTTTTTTTTTTTTTATTTTACCTGCAGATTTTGTCCATTGCATCTGTAGTCCATTGATGGGGGGTTTCATAGAGGAGAGCTTTGGCTGTACTTATGTTTATCAATTGTAATAGTGAAGAGAAAAAAAACTGACTTTTGTAAATAAAAACAAAGTAGAGATAACTCTTTAAGAAGTCAGGAATCGATTTAACATTTATATTATGAACAGAACACTACTTCTAAAATGAAAAAAATAAAAATCATCATTTTTTTAGTCTGACAACTGCTGTGGCTGGAAACAGGTCAAATGAATACTAAGCCACAAGAATTGTTAAGAAAAAAAAATCTTCCATTTTTTACAAGTGGATCAGTCAATTTAAGATTTGTACAGTTTATGGAGAAGGTACTGTGAAAGATCAAACATATCAAAAGTAGTTTTTGCCATTTTTGATACTGGAGATTTTTTGCTGAACTATGCTTCACAGTCAGATAATCCAATTTGATCCAGTTATTAGTACTCAAACCCTTGAATCATAATGGCTTGAGACAACCTGTTGTTTGGTTTTCAAGCAGTTTCCAAAATTACCATGTGCTGGGATTATCTCAGACTAACAACATCAAGAGCTCACCTTTTTAAGAAATCAGCCATGGTGAGATTTGAAGATCTGCCAGAAATGGTGAAATGTTGGAAGAGCCAGGGTGCAAAGTTACTGTAGATGACCTTGTGATCAAGGCATTCTTTAGACATTTACGTTGTAGTGAATAGTTTTCTTTGATCAGAGTAGCATTTTTATGTCAAAATTGTTATCAGTCTCGTTACAGTGGGCAACCAATGCAAAAAGACTCTAAATGAATTTGGTTAGATAAAAATAAAAAAAATCCAACCTAACAAATTTAGTCTGATGAAGTCCTGAAGGACAAAACATGTCACAAGGAAGCTGTAAGATATATATATATATATATATATATATATATATATCTACACACACTACCTTAAAAGTCATCCTATCAGTTGTAAGCCCATAAGGATGGGATAATATTATGAGGAAAGAAAAAAAAGGATTAATTTTTTTTTTTTTTCATATGTCTATAATAATGCCTGTGAAATATAGAATACTAGCTTAAAAGTTGCCCTATCAGGCAACATTTAAGCTAACTCCTACGGAGAGCTCTTGATTAGGCCATCATCACAATAAGTAAGGAGGAGTAGATGATAGGCAACAATAAACTACAGAACTCAAAATTGATCACTGCATTTAAGTATTGTATTAATATTTAAGCTTACCTTTTAAAAGTTCAATGATAATTCTTCTGCCACCACTTAAAGACAATTTGATGTATGTATGTAGGTCCTTACTTTCCATACAAACAATTATTTTTATTTTATGGGTGACTTGCTGGATTTCGCAATTAATTTTGATTATTCACAAATTTTGCAAAAAAATCACAGAAAAAAAAAAAAAAACACTAAAAGCAATCACAGTAATGAAAACTTTAATTGAAATAGTGTGACACACTGACATTGACATTTATTATATAGAAGGAGATGATGAACTAATGAGAGTTCTGTCCCTTTAATTGAAAAAAGGGAAATATAGAGACATTGGCATTTATTATATAGATGGTTTCCTTGTTTCCTGTGAATGTTGCCATAATCCTTGCCTTCAGTTCATCTTTGTTGTTACAAGGAGTTTTCTTGGTCACATAATAATGAAGGGGGTTGCATTCTGGGAAATTAGGTGGCCAGATATAAGGGGTAATGTGATTGCAGAAATTGTCTGACAGACATGACTGGTTTCTACTGCTCATGTGGCATGGTGCAGAGTCCTGTTGCCAGACACAGGGTCTTCCAGCAGTAACCCTCTGGACCCTGAGCAGCACTACCTCCTCAACACACTTGATGTCAAACTGTGTTGAGTCTTAGGCCCTGTGGGAAGATGAATGAAGGCATGTTACCATGACTAGTGATCATTCCAAACACCTTCATAATCACGATTACACTCATCTAACTTTTTCCAATTCTTCCGCACTGACCTCAAATTAACACCCAAACACTCTAAAATGTTCATATTGGAGCATCTGACCTGAATGCCAAGCAGTACAGCATACCATTTCCAAATTTCTGTCAGAGTGATTTGTGCCATTGTGCGCTTTTTCTCACAGATGGTGCCCAACTGACCCTACATATACTGTGCTGTTGAGAAAAATCAAAAACAAAAAACACGCATACATAAAATTAAAAATGCCAACAATTTACTCATCACACCATATATATATATATATATATATATACACACCCAAATGTAAAAGAACGAAAAATAAAATTTCAATATTCAAAACATTAATTTAAAACAGGGCTCAATACCAAAGTAGAGCAATAAATATTTATTTATTATGCACTGTTACATTAGAACAAATATACAAGTGCCATACAATTGTAAATCTAATTTGTTGCTACATTCTAATCATCTACATTGTATTACCATTTAAATCTGAATTCACCGATTCAACGGAATTTCATTAGTTGAATCGGTTTTCTCCTGACTTTCTTTTCCTTTTCTCTTCTCTTTCCTTTTTATTAATTTCTTATCTTCTTTCCTTTGTCTTTATAATAATCCTTTTTACCTTTAATGGAAAATTTTCCAAAGACAGAGAGTGAAGCAGTGTTTTATTAATCATAATTCTGAATAAAATCATTTACAACCATCATTGTTTGCCACCTGAAGAAACATTAATATAACGTTGAAACAAAACGTACAACTTTGTAGTGGATATTTACATGTTCTAATGTAACAGTGCATAATATATATATATATATATATATAAAATGAATAAATATATATTCCCCCATGACATTTGGTACAACTCAAGTTTCATGCACATGGCAATCATCAGGCAGACTGAAAACTGAGGTAATGGACAAAATGTATATTTATCAGTTTCTAAAGAAAGGGATGGATTTTTCATTAATACGATAGATTTCATTGCTTAAACTTTATTTTAAGGGATATTTGAGTAGCCACTCCATTTATTTACTAAGCCGTATATTTATTTATTTTTGTCTACTAGCCCAAATATTCAAGAAATATTATTAGAGAAAAATATTCATTCCCCAAGGAGAATTCAAACTTGCATTCCTTCAGGCGAAACCACCATTAGATCTGACATGCTTTAGACATCTTGGCCACAAAGTACATCGATGGTCAAGCAAAGTTGAACAGTGACTTTAAACAGGCTTTTATGACTCAAAATCAACATATCTGCTCAGTTTCATATTCTAACATAAACAAAGCAATTTCTAAAGAAAAGGATTTTTTTTATTTGTTAATCCAACAGATTTTATTATTTATTAGTGGATTTAAGGTCTACTCAAATATGAGTATCCACTAAAAATGGCATTCAAGTAATAAAATATTTATTAGTATATATTTTACCTGTTATACATCAAGCACTCACTGTTTTTAAATATATATATATATATATATATATATATATATATATATATATATATATATATAAAATAAAAAAAAGAACAGTAAGATATATAATCCAGTGTTCTTATAGATATTTTATTTTTACAAAATAGTGCTCAATGTAAATTTACAGAGCATTAATATTATAAATTAATTGAAAAAAAAAAAAAAAAAAAAAAAAAAAACATTTTAAATCATTTATTATATATATATATTATATATATGCACACATGCACGCACACAGTAATTCCTGCAGAACAATGTATATCAGATTATTCTCACAGACCAGTATCACGTGAGAGAGTTTTGATTGTTGCTGTGTTTCTCACTCATGGGGCTCTATATTAATCTAAGCTTAGTAAACCTCTATGGCCTTAATTACATTCAACAAAGAAACTACTCAATTTTAAGAACTTATAAGTTTCCATGGTTTAAAAAAAAAAAGACAGGTTCTTGATAGATTTTTGAAAAGTCACTAAAATTATTATGCTGTAAATAAAGAAAGTAGAACAATTGCAAAATCCTGTTAATAATGACCTCAGAAAGGTTCAAGTTGAAAAAGACATTTTGGCATTTGTTGTATGTGTGTGAGAGCGAGAGAGAGCATGCGAGAGGGTGTGTGAAGAGGGAGAGAGAGTGGAGAAAGAGCGGGGGGGGGCTGAGAAAGAGATTGGGGGGGAATTAAGGTTCCTTACACATTTCCTGGTCCATTCATAATCGAACATCCTTCTGACGTACAGTATTCCGATATTGCTCCATACATCAGGTTGACATGGTTAAAAAAGGAAATTACTGAAAAAGCAAAGAAAAATAAAATGTTATTCAATGCCAATATCCATCCATCCACCTAATCCTCACATACAAGTGACAAAATTTAACTACAATGACAAATTTCTGTCATCTGCAATTAATGGATAAAGTCTCCAGGTTCCCAATCAAATCCATTTAAAACAAACAGCTTCATTCTACTTTAACATTTAAATCATGCAAACCAATTTTTAAGTAAAATATCGGCTTTTTTTAAAGAATTTTAAAACTTACTCAAATATTGGAAATAACAGTTATTTTATCTCACATTCACAATGTGAAAGTTCTGGTCTTTTGATAGAAAAACATTTTGGCCTTTCTACATGCAAGCAAGATTGACAAATTGGTTCCTAAAATTTAGACATCTCAGCATGGAGTAATAGTAACAGTAATTGTTGTAATGGAATGTTCCACTCTCCCTATTGACTATTTTGACTATATCAGTAAATATATATAGTGTGCACATGGGCATACCTGAGACTGGCTTTGGGAAGTGCTAGCCTGCTAACCGATTCCCTATCTTTCAGTAGTGTATTCTCTTTTACAATAAATGTCTTTCTTTCATCTACACCTGTGTTGCTGTTCCTTTCACTCGAGTACCGTCTGTTTGTAACCTCTTTAAGAATACAACAGGAATATTAGCCATTTCCTAAAAAGGAACCATTCGATATTCATTGACTGACTGAGCAGCCAGTGTTATCGTAGATTGAAATTTATAAAATCTTAAAACAATTTTTCAGGAAAATAGGTTTCTAAAGTCCACTGGTATTGCTCTTTCCAGCAGTGATGGGGGGGGGAGGGCTTCCTTTTTAAGCTTTGAAATAGTGTGGAACATCAACATTTTGATTATGTCATTATTCTCTCAAGTTTCACATGATATCTATTTTAGTTCTTGCTGCTGTTAAAAGGTTATGTGCTTTCTGTTATTAGGGCCAATTTTATTGTTTGAGATTCTGTAACACCAGACCACAACGTTCAAAGAAGAACGGTCTTAGCTAAAACCTGTAGGTTCTGTTTGCTCCATTTTTAACTATTGATTTGAGAAAGTGGTTGTATACAGCAAATAGGTTAGATATTTCTGAACAAGTTTGGTGCCATGCATGGCATCCATATAAAAGTCTCAATCTGACGAAGCTATTTAAGAACAGGATACAAATTATGTTAATGTTTTCATTTTGCAGCAATTTGCTATATTGGGTCAAACTAATCCTAGCACAGCTTATTCTACATTCAATTTATCTCTTATACTAAATTTGTTAGAACTAATCCATACACTGAGGTATTTGAAATGTTTAGTATTTACTGATTCCATATCCTGTCTACAACTTATTTATCTAATTATATTTAATTTTTTGTTTTTGATGAGGAGTTATCATTATTTACATTTGCTCTATTGTCCACATCTTTGTTGTTTTGCCATCTAGCCTATCTAAAAGGAATTCTGAACTGAACTCTTTATTTAAATCTACTTGAGTAGATGTCTTATTTATAGGCCAAGTACACACTGCCCAAACTGATTGAACTCACTCCCACAATATCACCAAATTCACAAACCAATGCTTTAATCCGCTAGGGTATTGTCCCATAGGACAATTTACTGTAGTGAATTTAATCTTTATGATGGACTAGACTGCCTGTGACCCATTGGGTCAACCTTGTTGTGTTACTCTTTACATTTAGTTTCATGAAGAGTTTGTGAAAGAAGAGATATTTTAAAAAATACATTTTCAGTTATTGAAGTTGCTTTCAACATTAAAAAAATTTTCTGTTTGAAGAAAGTTGAAATAAAAATATTTCAAATATTGTTTGTTTAAAGAAAGCTGAAATATAAATAAACATGCATGCAATCATGGGAAGGTGGAAAGAGAGAGGTGGGCAGAAAAAGAAAGTTTTTTTTTTCTCTATTTCCTTCTCTCCCTCTGCTTTCTACATGATAATAAATTCACATCTTTCTTTCACCCACTCTCTATATATGACTTCTGGCAAACACAAAAGCAACGTTCACAGACTTTTATAGTAATAAAGATATAGAGTAGGTTTCATCATGGCTTTCATCCCAATTTCAAATCATAGTTTCTGTTTTGGAAAGGTTTTGTTCAAGTCCTATTTCTTGGAACACTTTGTAGAAGATGTTGTGGAATAATGATTAGTAACTAACAAGTCTAGTTGATCATTACTACGGAGTAACAAGTTTGATCCTCAATGGGTGCCTCATATCTGTGATGTAACTGTATACATTACACATTTTAAATAATGATATCAAATATAAAAAAAAATATTAAATAAAAAAATTATTTACATTCAGACTATTGTCCTCATCTTTGTTGTTGTTATCACAACATTTTGTACCTTCCAACCTTCCTCAGGTGTATATTAATCTACAGGGGTAGACTGTTCTGGTCTTGGGATATTGTCTAGTTCTTATTTATAGTGTTGCTCAGTTGTTGATCGCCTGATTCCACTGAGTCCAGGGATTGAACTCTCAACCACAAATGTAACCAAATTCACAAACCAATGCTTTAATCCACTTGTACATTGTCCTGTTATGAAATTGGAGCCTTAAACCTAACCTAACCTGCCTGCTGATTAATATTTTGATTGCTGCTGCTGTAGAAGACTTGCTCTCATTTGTTTTTCTTTATTAGCGTTTCCCATATTCTTTTATTTCTATGCTAAGCCTACGAAGGAGATCCTCATAGCCTAATATATGTGCCAATTCTTTCAGACATCTAACTCTTCAGTGTTCTTTGTCCAGTATTTTCACTTCATTCCATAGGGACCACCTCTTTCCTTACATACATGATCAGCCATGTCCAATTTCATTGTCTCACCCCAGATTCTTGATGTTCCTCCAGTATTACTTTTAGAGGGTGGCTTGTTTCACTTTTATATTCTCTGCCATAACTACAAGGAATCAAGTATACGCAATTCTTGGTCATATTCTCTCCAATGTTAGGCTTTACCTGGCAGATATTTCTCTGTAGAGTGAAACTGCTTCTGAATATTGTCCAGATGTTGTATAGACTGCAGATCTTCTGAAACTTTTCTGATAAGCCCTTGATTATAAAGTAGACAGATTGTGGGAATTTTCTGGTCTTCCTGGGAAAGTGGTAGTCATCAGCCCCTGTGGAATGAAATGAAAATAACTGGACAAAGAAAAACACCACAGAGTTAGATGCCTGATAGAATCAGCACATAGTCCAGGCTATGAGAACCTCCTAAGTAGGCCTAGCCTATAAATGAATACAATAAGGAGCTGTTAATAAAGACAGACAGATAAATGATAGCCAGTCTTCAACAGCTGTAGCAGCAACGAAAACATGACCATCTACAGCAATTGAAGCATGAATCAGCAGGTAGGTTAGGTTTAAGGCTCCAAGTTCACTACAGTAAATTGTCCTATGGGACAATACCCTAGCAGATTAAAGCATTGGTTTGTGAATTTGGTGATATTTCGGGAGTGAGTTCAATCAGTATGGGCAGTGTGTACTTGGCCTATAAATAAGACATCTACTCGAGTAGATTAAATAAAGAGTTCAGTTCAGAATTCCCTTTAGATTACCCAGAAAGGCCAGATGGTAAAACAACAAAGATGTGGATAATAGAGCAAATGTAAATAATGATAACTTCTCATCAAAAACAAAAAATTAAATATAAAATATAATAAATATAAAATATTCTTAGAAATCATTGTAATCATTTATCTGGAAAAAAAGTACATAAATAAAAATTTTATCAGCCTTTATTTACATCTATTTTCTTCATTGCAGACTTATTTTTACAACTTGCCATTCTGCTTTTTTCACTGAAGTGTTAAGTACTTGTTCTAACAATTTTACTTTATTAACTTTACACTCAGAATAAAAAAGGTGATAATTCAATGGCTATAGTACTTGAATGGACAATAAAAATCCCTAAGATTTGAACAAGGTCATTAATCATAACTGCAATTGAACAAAATTAACATCCAAACTTGAAAAAGGAAGTGATAATTAAACCTAACTATGAAGCAGTAAAGCAAGCGAAATCAACATCATAATGCCCAAAATAAATATTTGATGAAAGTCAAATAAATTAAACAGAGTATATTGTATGACACTAAATATGTTGCCAGAATCAATTCCATGGAATTTCAGCATTTCAAATCTGATTCTATCTTATAGATGCAATTTGAATACATTGATATCACTTTATACCTGGATATCTAAAATGAAAAACAAATGTTATAACATCACATGTAAAATACTAAACACAAATTATATTTATAAAAAAAAAAAAAAAAAAAAAAAAAATAACATTAAAATTAAAAATTATTTGTTTTATATATAATACATGAACACTCAATGAGAGGCAACTGTAGTGAAGGCAGAATTTTTACTAATTTCATTGTCCTTTATTGAATGTAACAGAGCAGTATTCCACAGTACATGTAACAGACAGTTCAAAATTTCCATAGAATTTCCAAGTAAACAAAGACAATTTGAAATTAAAGGGTTTGGACATTTTCCTGTAAGTTACCCTGATTGATATACACCTTATGAAGGGTGGGGGGGGATTTCACAATGGCCAAAATACTGTGATAACAAAGTCCAAATGTAAATAACATAGTATTACATTATTACTTTCTACGATTTCCAGCTTCTGGTAGTTAACACAAAATTTTTTGAATTTTTTCTTTTTAGTTGTGAAAATATCTAAATTTAGACTATTGACTTTTTAAATAATCCCCCAGAAAAATTAAGCTACACTGATTTTAACTAGTAAACAAAGACTGGAGAGAAAAAGATGAAAATAGAATAGTAAACGTAAGTTAAAATTAACCAAAATTGTTTTTTTGTTATTTTGTTTTTTTAAACCATTTCACCTCAAATAAAGCAATAATGTCACTAAAATGCAATATGTTACTGGAAATGAAAGAGAAGACTGAAGTGAGGAGAAAGGACAATAAAAGGACAGGGTTCAAGAAGACAGAACATGATAATTGA